GGGAGTAGAAAGCCTCATCTTTCTCCCGCGGAGCAGCTGGTAATTTTGAACTGCTGATCTTAAGGTTCGCAGCCCGATTCGTAACCACTACGCTACCAGAGTCTTCCTAATAGAAGTTACTAAATGATGTCATTGATGGTACTAAGGCAGACTCAGCCATTTTGTCAACATGAATTCTCCTATATCCATCAAAAGCATCTCACTTGAACACTTATACCTGTACCCAGAATTCAGAATTTAAAATAAATTTGTTGAGTAGAATTAATTAAGCACCTTGTTAAGGGTTAATTGGGACATGCAGATGGATGACACAATTACCTTCTCAAAGAAATCACTTAAATTTTTATTGGTAAAAGACATATAAATCTCATGCTAGTACTAATGTACACTTTCAGTTTGTTGTACTGTGGTAACGTGTGTTGCTGTGATGCTGGGAGCTATGCAACCAGTTTTTTAAAATATTACCATGCTCATCAATGGTAGACAGATTTCAGTGGAGCTTCCAGACTAAGACAAACTAGGAAAAAAATAAATAAATAAAAGGTAGGCAGAACATTTCTGAATGGTTAACTACTGAAAATTTTATGAATAACATAAGAATCTAGTCTGATACAGTACTGGAAGATGAGACCCACAGATTGGAAAGCACTCAAAATAGGATTGCCAAAGAGCTTCCTGCTCAACGTAGAGGTGACTTTGACAAGAATTGAGCAAAGCTTTCAGGGCTTTCATTTGTTCATGGGACACAACACAAAATAAGAATAAACAGCTGTAAACATTCATTAATATTTGGAATATGGAATATCCAATTTATAAATATGGAAAAATTTAAAGTTGTCAAAAATGAAATGAAACACATAAAGATTGATATCTCAGGTGTTGGTGAACTGAAATAGGCTAGTATCAGCCACTTACAATCACACAAGCGTATGATTTTACATGATAGGAACAAGAAACTGAAGAGTAATGGCATCACATTCATCATCAAAAAGAACACTTCATGTATGATGGATGCTCTGTGACAGAATAATATCCACAAACCTACGAGAAAGACTAGTAAATACCATTATGATTCAAATTCATGTACTGATAACTAAAGAATGATGAATTAAAGAATTATACCAACTTCTTCAGTCTGAAATTGATCAAACTTGCAATCAAGATACATTGATATTTACTGCAGATTAGAATGTGAAAGTTGGAAACTAAGAGGATCAATAGTTGAAAAATATGTCCTTGTTGATAGAAATAATACTGGAGATCGAATGATAGATTTGTACAATACTAATGACTAATGCATTGCAAAAACTATTTTCAACAACAAAAAGGCAAATATACCCATGGACTTCTCCAGATGGTATACACAGGAATCAACTGTGCAAAGACACAATGTAGAAGTTCAATATCATCACCCAAAACAAGAACAAGAGAAGTGGGGGGGGAAACCACCAATTGGTCATACACACACTCAGGCTGAAGCTGAAGAAATTGATATAAACCTACAAGAGCCAAAATATGACCTTGAGTATGTCACACCTGAATTTAGGGACCATATCAAGAACACATTTGATGCATTAATCACTGAAGACCAGAAGATTTGTGGGATGACATAAAGAAAGAAAGCAAAAGGTCACTAAGAAGACAGGAAAGAGAGAAAACAACAAAAGGCCTGTGAGAGGATACTCTAAAACTTGCTCATGAATACAGAGAAGTTAAAGCGACTGGAAGAAACAATGACATAAAAGACCTGAACAAAAATTTCAAAGGGCAGCTCAAGTAGGAAAAGTCAATTATTACAATAAAATGTACAAAGACCTGTATTTCGAAAAACAAAAGGGAAGAACATGCTTAGCACTTCTCAACCTGAAAGAACTGAAGAAAATATTCAAGCCTCAAATTACAATGTTGAAGGATTCTATGGGCAAAATATTTAGTGATGCAGAAAGCATCAAAAAAATTTGTCACTGTACCAAAAAGAAATAGCCAATTCAAGAGGTAGCATATGATCAAGAACTGATGGTACTGAAGATAGATGTTCAAGCTGCACTGAAGGCATTGTTAAAAGACAAGTTTCCAAGAAATGACAGAATACAAACTGAAATATTTCAGAAAATTGATTCAGCACTGGAAGCATTCACTCATCTCTGCCAAGAAATTTGGAAGACAACTACATGGCCAATTGCTTGGAAGACATGCTTATTTGTGGCCATTTCAAAGAGAGATGGCCAAACAGAAGGCAAAAATCATCAGACAATATCATTAATATCACATGCAAGTAAATTTTGCTGCAGCTAATTCAAAAGTTGTTGCAACAGTATATCAACAGGAAACTACCAGAAATTCAAGCCAGATTCAGAAGAGGTCTTAGACAAAGAATTTCATTGGTGACATGTGATGAATCTTGGCTAAAAGCAGAGAATGCCAGATAGATGTTTACTTGGGTTTTAGCGACTATGCAAAAGCATTCAACTGTGTGAATCAGAACTAACTACGGATAACATTGCGAATAATGAGAATTCCCAGACACTTTATTGTGCTCATGAGGAACCTGTTCATAGACCGAGAACCAACTGTTTTAACAAAACAAGGGGATTCTGAATGGTTTAAAATAATGAAAAATGTGCACCAGGTTTGTATCCTTTCACCATACTTGTTCAATCTGTATGCTGAGCAAATAATCTGAGAAGCTGGATTATATAAAGAATGTGGCAACAGGATTGGAGGAAGACTCACTATCAACATGCAATATGTAAATAATACAACTTATCTTTCTGGAAGTGAAGACAATTTGAAATACCTATTGATGAAGATCAAATACTGCACCCTTTTCTATGGATTGCACCTCAATATTAAATAAACAAAAATCCTCACAACTGGACAAATAAAATAGCATCGTGACAAATGGGAAAAACATTGATGTTTTCAAAGACTTCAATTTGCTTGCATCCACGATCAACACTCAAGGAAGCAACAGTCAAGAAATCAAAAGATGTATTTATTGTATTGGGGAAATCTGCTTCAAAAGATCTCTATAAAGCATTGAAGAGCAAAGATGTCACTTAGAGGACTAAGGTATACCTGCCTAAAGCCATGATATTTTCAGTCACCTCATATGCATTGTGAAAAATAAGGAAGATTGTAGAAGAATAGAAGCATTTGAATTATGGTGTTAGCAAAGAATATTTAAAGTATCACAGGCTGACAAAAGAGCAAACAAATCTTTCTTGAGAAAAGTATAGATAGAATGCTCCTTAGAAGAGAAGATGGTGAGACTTGGGCTCTCGGACTTTGGACACATTGTCAGGAGGAATCATCCTGGAGAAGGACATCATGGTTGGTAAAGTGGAGGATGAGCACTAAAGAGGAAGATTCCCAAGGATACAGACTGACACAGTGTCAGTAACAATGGTCTCAAACATAATTGTGAGGATTGTGCAAGCTTAGATAGTTTGTCTTTCTGTTGTGCATAGGGTTGCTATGAGTGGGAACCAACTCAACAGAACCTAAGAACAAAAATATACACCAGTAGAGTTTAGTGAAAGAAAAGATCAGTGTAGGATTAAGTGGCTATAAATACTTAATCAGATATGTGAGGAGAAGAAAGAAAGAAAACATTCAACTTGAAAAAGGAAATAATATAAACGGAAGGCAAAGACTGGAACAATTTTGATCTTGTATGAGAAACAGAAAAGGAGGTTATTTTAACTGAAGTGGAAAAAAAGATAATTGTGGAACAGGGTACTGATGTCAACTTGTGGAGGACAGTGAATTTGGATTAAAATGAGCACATCAATATGAACATATATCCTTTACTCAAATAATTTAGTATACTAGGCTTTGGTACCTTTCCTTTTAAATAATTATTTCAAAACTTTCATGAAAACATGATTTATATGAGTTATAAAGTAATTAAGTGATTCCAAAACCAGGCCCCATTAAAGAGTCACCTGATTAACTGCTTACTGAAAATACAGAGTTCTAGGGGTAATCCAGGAACTTTGTAGAAAGAAAGAAATAGATATAGTACGGATTTGCATTAGAGTTCCACCTGTAACTCATTATAGTTAAAACTTAATTGATTTTAAAAACAACAGCAAATACCTAATTGGAGTTCTGGCACTGTAGGATAAGCATTAGACTGCTAACTACAAGGTCAGTGATTCAAATACCCAGCTGTTCCTCAGAAACCCTACATAGGGTTGCTATGTGTCAGGGCTGACTCAATAGTATTAACAACAATTGAGGCAAATCACTTAACTTCTGAACTGTTTCCTAATCTGTGAAATTAGTATGACAACATATTGTTGTTGTGTTGTTGTTAAGTGCCATCGAGTCGGTTCCGACCCATAGCGACCCTGTACAGGGTTTCCGAGGGTGTAAATCTTTACAGGAGTAGAAAGCCTCATCTTTCTCCCGCGGAGCGGCTGGTAGTTTCGAAAATATAGATCATAGTTTGTTGTGAAGATTTCAATATATGACCATAAACTTACTAAGATAATGCCTATAAATAAAAATAAAAAAAGAACTGGTTTAAGACATTGTTAAACCAATCAATGGAATTGACAGGATATAATGATTGATTGATGAGCGTATTCTGCTTTCTTACAGCCAGATCATGCCATTCAACATCAGTTGGGATTTGGGGGACATCGTCTTTGTTTTGGCTTTTTCATTCACTACGACCAAGGAACTCATCACTCTGGGGCAGAGTTAGGTGAAATCAAGTCCTGGAAAACTGTAATAAGCATACTGTCTTCTCTTCCATTGCAGCCTCTACTTCCAAATGTATCTGCCTGTTGCCCTCCCAGTGCTTCAAAGGTGGAAACCATCTCTACTGTGTCTCAATAGGATCATCAACAATTAAGAAAACATTGAACATCTGTGAAGTTGGAGCTGTAAGATGTGCCAACAAAAAGCTGGAAATATTGCATCTTGGGAATTGTTTGACTTAATACAATTAATTCCAAACCAATTTACCATCCAAATATAATCCCTATTGTTAGGTATTCTTGTTCAAATAGCAGCCTGGAATGTCTATAAGTTATGGACAGAAAGTACTGTATATTCATTGCATGTAGCTATTTTACCCTTACTATGTAATAGCCTCCCCTGTCCAGTTCCAGCCCACACCTCCCTAATAGCTTTCTTATCAATCCAGTAAATTTTCTAGTTCATTGATTAACTTACATTGTACTAAAATGATGTAATTTCTAGGGACCTTAGGAAGCCTATTAAGCCCCTCACAATTAGAAATAAGGACAAAACTAATAATTTTGCTTAATAAATAAACACAGAAAGTCACAACTTGTAAAACAAACTTGATGCATTCATTCATTAAATGCGTCCTGGGTATCAACATTATGCCAAGTTCTGTTTGTTGTTATTGCTAAGTACCGTGGAGTCGGTTCCGACTCATAGCGACCCTGCACAGAGTTTTGAAGGCTGTAAATCTTTACGGGAGCAGAAAGCCTCATCTTTCTCCCGCAGAACAGTTGGTAGTTTCGAAACTCCTGACCTTGTGGTTCACAGCACAATTCGTAACCACTACAATACCAGAGCTCCTTATAAAGGACATAGCCTACTGATAATAAATGCTATGATAACGAAAGGAAGTATGAAAGGGTAAATTTTTATTTTGTTGTTGTTTGTTGTCAGATGCCATCGAGTCGGAACCCACTCATAGCGATGCCATGCACAGCAGGATGAAACAATGTCCGATCCTGGGCCAACCTCACTACCCCTGCCACACTTGAC